TGATCAGGTTGAGGGACCCAGTTGTGAAATATTAGAAAAAGCTTTACAAAGATACAAACAAGATTTAAAGAGTCAAGAAAAAATTCGTAGAAATGCTAAATTAGTTTATACTAAAAATGATATCAGAAGACGAAGATTAGTTAATGAAGAAAATTTTAAAGGTTATTTAAACGAACTAACCGTTGAACTTAATTCCGAATGCGAAACCAAACCACATTTAAACATGGATGAAAAATGTATGTTATTTTTTATATTTAAATAAATAAATTTTTTTTTGACTCGAATTAAAATTAGATTTAATTTAGATGAACTTCGAATTAATACTGAGGATAACATCGGTAGAGCATCTTTGTTCAGTCAATCGATTTGGGGTATACTCAGAGGTTTGGAAACATGGTCACAACTTGTTTACATGTCTCCTGATTTTCGTGCTGTATGTTATTTATCAAAACATAAAGGCAAACATATTATGTTTCGATGTATTTTCAAAAGAAACATTTTTCTTTTTTTACAGTTAGTTGTAAATAGTACTTTTATAATGGATTATCCAAGATTTTCTCACAGAGGTTTACTCATAGATACTTCCAGACATTTTTTACCAGTTAATACAATATATAAAATGTTGGATGCAATGGTTATGTCTAAACTCAACGTTCTTCATTGGCATATCGTCGACGATCATAGTTTTCCATATCAGAGTAAAGTTTTTCCTGAATTGAGTGCAAAAGGTGCTTATGCTCCTACTCACGTTTACACTCCAGAAGAAGTGCAAAATATAATTACTTATGCTGGAATGAGAGGAATTCGTGTGGTCCCTGAATTCGATACTCCAGGTACTTTTTTTTTTTTTTTTTAATGATAAAATGAAGAATTTTTTTTAAAAATAAATTTTCTTTTTCAGGACACACGCGGTCTTGGGGAGAAGCTTATCCAAAGCTTCTGACGAAATGCTACACTAACGGATATCCGGATGGAAGTCTTGGTCCCATGAATCCTGTCTCAAGTGAAACATATTCTTTTATGACTGAATTATTACAAGAAGTAAAAGATGTTTTTCCAGATTCTCATATTCATTTAGGAGGAGATGAAGTTGAATTTGAATGTTGGTAAGTTTTTATATACCTATCGAAATTATTAATCATTTAATTTTTTTAAAAATTGATTTAATATTTAAAAATAAAAAAAAAAAACGAGTTGCATTTTTTTTTTACGTGAAATTTTAGGAATAGCAATCCGGAACTCCGGGAATACATGAATAAAACAGGTCTAACTGTAAAACAGTTGGAAGATGTTTACGTTAAAAAAATAGTAGACATGGCTTCTAATATATCGGCAAAATCTATTGTCTGGCAAGAAATATTTGATGATGATGTAGATCTTCAAATAGATACTGTCGTTCAAGTTTGGAAAGGAAACCATCGATTCGAATTGAAAAAAGTGACCTCGAAAGGTTACCAAGCACTTTTATCATCTTGTTGGTATTTGGATGCATTAAAATCCGGTGGAGATTGGCATGATTTTTACCGTTGCGATCCTCATGATTTTGGTGGAACCGATGAACAGAAAAAATTAGTTATAGGAGGAGAAGCTTGCATGTGGGGAGAAGTAGTTGACGTAAATAATGTATTGTCGAGGGTTTGGCCGAGAGCTTGTGCAACTGCTGAAAAATTATGGTCTTCGGGTAATGAGTTTAACATAGGAGAAGCTGCCAAACGTTTGGAAGAACACACTTGTAGAATGAATAGAAGGAAAATTCCCGCACAACCGCCAAATGGGCCAGGCTATTGTCCAGGACTCAACTATGCGTAAATAATAAAACACTAAAAACGTAGACGTTTATTTTACTGTCAATAGATTGTTTATAAATAAAATTAAAATAACATTTATGTAATTCGCAATTTAAAATTTTAGTTTTTATTTTTTTAAAAAAATTTGATTTTTCTCCATTTCGTACCTGCTAAAATTGTTTTTTTTTGTTATAACGCGGGAAACTTAAAATAAAAGTTGGTAAAAACCACCAAAAGTGCAAAACAATCAATAACCGTAAAAATATAAATAATAGAAAACAATATTGCCAACTTAAAATCGTTTAAATCAAATAAAAGTCGGGTAAAAAGAAAACGTTTTTAAAAATGTCGTCGGTAAGAAATTTTAAATTTTTTTGAAAAACAATTTTTTTTTTTTAAAAATCGTAAAATCTATTTTAAAAAATTTTGATTTTTTTTTAGGTAAAACCGTTAATACTCGGAAGTAAACAAAATATAAATAATCGAGCACTTTTGGAAAGAATGTATAACTTAATACTTAAATCAACGTATAAAATGCCGAGAAATTCTATATATAAATGTAATACGGAAGAAATAATTAACTACCGATTATCGGTTGTTAAAGTACGTTATTATTTATTATAAATACTATAATTAATTCTTTTCGGAAATAACAGTAAATAATTTGTTTTGTTTTAAACACATATATAAAATTATAAAACAAAATTTGTTTTTTTTAGTTTGCAAAAGACGTTAAGGAGATTGAAAAAACGATAAATTGTGGGAGGATAGAAATGCTTTTAACTCAAGCGAAAAATGAATATAATTTATGTCAAAAAATGATAGTTTGGAAACCTTGGGAATCATTAATACAAGAACCTTCGCCTTCACAATGGAAATGGCCTCAATACGCAGAATAATAATAATAATACTTTAAGTTTTGCACTCTAATGTATATTTTCCTGTAAATAAAAAAAAAACAAAATTTTTAAATATTTTGCAATGCAGGTTTAAAGGGTACCTCATTTATTTTACAATGTTTGGGGTAGGAAATAAACATTAAACTTATTTTACTTAAATAAAATATATAATAGGCTTTAAATTTTATGAGACACGAATATCGAATATTAAATAATTAAAGACATGGAAATTTTTTTTTTAATTTTCGTTGAATCAACCGTTATAATTAAACTTTTTTCAATTAAATCTTTTATTTCTTTTGGTAAAATTTGAGTTGAATGATGAATTTGTATCCAAGGTTCGTTATTATCAATATTAGATCCAACGGTTTTTAAAAAAATTACACCGGTTGAATAATCAATTGGTAAATTTATTTTTGTTCTTCTTCCTCCTCCCAATAACCAACATGCTTTTCCAATATTTAAAGGTTCTATTTTTTCAATAATACCTGAAAACAAACATAGTTTTGTGAAAAGAAAAAAAAAATTTTGAATATTTCAACTTACCCTTTTTGTGACTTTTTAATATGGTGGTATATTTAGATTTCGATAAAACGTTCCAGTAATCTCCAGAACATAATTGAATTGCATTTTTTTGAGAAACACCTTGACAGACGAGCATTTTTTCAAAATGTTTTAAAGCTCTTCCATCTTTGATTGTTTCATATAACATTTCTTTTCCATCTTCCAAACTTTTTACCAAACCTATAAAATTAACTCTACTGGATACCAAAAATTTAATTTAAAGGAATGAGAAAATTTTGGTTTTTTTTTTTTTTTTGTTAATAAAACCTTTTGATTTGATAATAATTCCTCCTAAAAATAAAACCAAATCGAGTAAATCGTTTTCGATTTCGTTTTTTAAACATTTTATTGATTCTATAACTTCTAATGTATTTCCAACGTATTCGCCTAATGGCGAATTCATTTCTGAAATTACCGCTTTCGTATTTAAATTAACGGCTTTTCCAACATTTATCTAAAACATTTATATTAGTTTGATATATTAATCGCAATACTAATTTAATTCTGACAAAATGTTTTAATTTAAATTTACCAAAGTTTCAGCTAATTTTCTTGCTTCTTCTTCTGTTTTGGAAAATGATCCAGACCCGAATTTAACATCAATCAAAAGTTCTCCAATACCTTCTGTAGCCTTTTTAGATAATATTGAAGACACAATTAAACCATGATTGTCAACGGTTGATGTTATGTCTCTTAATTTATATAATAAAGCATCAGCGGGTGCAAAATCTCGAGACGCTTCACAGATGAAACATCCAGCTTCCATAAGACATTCGTTCATTTTTTCTGGTGTTAGAGACACTTGAAAATCTTTATAAAAAAAAAATAATTTGAATTTCATTTCCGACATCATTAATTTTATAATATGATTAATTTTTTTCTCACTTGGAATACTCTCTAATTTGTCCAGGGTTCCACCGGTAAATTTTAAACTACGACCAGATATCATGGGTACTTTTAAACCGACAGCTGCTAAAGCTGGAGCGAGTATCAAACTGACTTTATCACCTACTCCTCCCGTGCTATGTTTGTCTATTAAAATATCTTTTGAAAAATTTTTAAATTTTAATATTTCTCCACTGTTGATCATACTTTTAGTTAAATTAATCGTTTCTTTTAATGTTAAATCTCTTAAATACATGGCCATGAGCATAGCTCCTAATTAAAATTATTGTTTAAAAAAAAGTTATTTTTGCAATTTAGTTGCTTGAAAATTTTAAATAATTATTAACTACTCTTTTTGTTTGATATTTTACCTGTTTGGGCATCATTTATTGTACAATTGACCACTTTATTTATAAAAAATTCTATTTCTTGAGCTGAAAGTTCAAATCCATCTCTTTTTTTACAAATTATTTCAGGTATACTTAATTCCATTATTTAATTTAAATTTAAACTTTAAATTTTTTCAGTAATTTTTAATAATTCTAAATTAATTTTTTTTTTTTTTAAAGATTATTCAATCAAAATATTTTTATACTTCTTAACAAAAATTAATGATGATTTATATACAAGAAATTTTTTTTTTTTTTTACAGATTTATTAAATATTAATTAAATTAAAACGAAATAAAATTTTTTTAATATAATTTACACTCAACAAGTAAAAGATATCAACTAATTATGAAAAAAAAATTTTTTTTTTTTTTTTTTTTTTTTTTAATCCGGGCGGGGAAGGAAAAAAAAAAACACGTGTAGGGGGATTAAAAATTTAATAACTGACTCATATATTTTTTTTTTTAACTAATATTTTTATTTTTAAATGAATTTATTTGACCTTTTAACTATAGGATTTGAAATTCATTTTGTAAAGAAAATATTATTTTTTTGAAAACATTAATGATTTAAATAAGTATTAATAATTAAATATATAATTTATAAAAAATTAAAAAAAAAATTCTAACAATCTTTGACTCTAAATTATAATTATGATGAAATTCATGGATCTTAAAAACATATTTTTCTCATTTTTTTTTATTTTTGCTAAATAATTTGAAACAATTTCTTTAAAAAAATTTATTTAAAATATTACTAAAACTGAATTATAATTAATTGTAAAAATTTTTTTAATTGCATTTAAATTATCATTATCTAATTATCAGATATGGAGTGCACATATCTCAAAATGATTGTGATTAAACAATCTAACAAATGTAGGAGAAATTAGGTTTTTATATTTATTAATGGAAACTGTTGAACATAGTGATATTGCACTGAAGGTGTATCATCTGATTTCTTTGAAATTGTTACATTTTGAAGTGGCTGAATTAATTTAATTGTTTTATTTGTTAGTTCCACTGGGCGAACTGATCCGAAAAAGTCTGTTATAGGCACTTTCTTAGTATTTCTTAAAAATAAATCTTTTCTAACACCCACTGTTGAAATGCATGCAACTTGTGGACACACTTTCAAAAAATCATCAATAGTTTTTTCACTGTGTTGATCAACACGCTCTAAAAATTCTAAAGCATAATAAGTATACCTATCAATTATGTAAACACCAATGGCTAAGTCCATATGATGGGACAAAGAATCTTCTCCCACTAAACTGCTAGCTACAGCTAAAACATTTGGAGAATAAAATTTTTCATACATCGAAGCAGCTTGACATGTATCAATCATGAAAAATAATTCATGATATCTTCTTTTTTGCCACATTTGTTCTAAAGCATCAGCTAATTCTTGACTAGTAATTTCTTCGGAGTCTTGAAATTTTAAAAAGCCATCTCCTCCATGCCCAGTTAAATAAATCAAAATATTACTTCCTTCATCTGTTAATAACTGTTTGGATCTAGGAGTTTCAGGTGGAAGTCTTCCGGTTAAAAGCCTTACAAAATTTTCAACTGTTACTTCATAACCTCTGTAATCAACTTCAACATCATCCCCGTAAACATTCATTCTTCTGTTTGCATTATTAAAAACTGTAGCAGGTCTTGGATTTCTAGGGTTACAAGCCATATCATCAGCAATCATTAATATTATCCTACTGTCTGGTATTCCCAAACGTTTTACACTTCTGTAGATGGACAGAACATTGGCTACATGACGATAGTTGAACCAAAAACGAGATGTATCAACAAGCACAGCCCAATTGTTTGTGTGAGTAGATTCACTAAATTCTTTAGGAATCTAAAAAATTAATTATACTAAATTAAACAATTTTAGTGAAAAAAAAAAAATTGCCTATGATTCATTCAAAAAATTACTTAAATCATGTAAATTTTTAAAAAGTGATTTAAAACTTTATTAGTTGATAAGAAATGATATCTTTTTGAAATTAGACTTCAATAATGTATTTCAAAACCAATTTGAAAATTTTTTAAATTTTCAAAATAAAAAATAAAGATTTTAATTAAAATATCTTCACTTTAAAAAAATTATTTCAACTTACTTCATTTGCAAAAGCACACCCAAAAAAAAATATAAGTAATCTTAATTTCATTATTATTTTCTGTGTATTTTCGACTAAGTTGCTTTATATAAATACTAATAATTATAATCGAATTTTAAAATAATATTGTTTTAAAGGAAAATTTTTAAACATGATATTTATTATTAATATCATCGAAACGATTTATAATATTTTTATTTAAAAAAATTCTAAATTTTGAAAAAATCTATAAAATTTTTTCTTTCTCGTTAATTTTATCATCAATTAATGTACATTTAAAATTTTCTATTGCCACGGCAAAATATTAAGTTGCAACTAAGCATTGGCAGTAATTACATGAGTTGCTTCCATTTTGTTTTTTTCGGAAAGTGTCTAAGAAGTGCTTAATAATTTTTTGTGTTGATGCCTAATAAATATATATCAATAACTTGTAAATGTTGCATTAATATTGTTATTATGCAATTTTCTAAGTGAATAGAATATTCTTATGTGAAATTTAGTTAAATGTTCATAATTTCGCTTTACAAAGGAAGAATAGAACGTGAGCACAAGGTAAAGCCCTTAGATTATTTAATTTGCATTTCAAAAATATTTCAATTTCCTTTAACGATTTGAATGAGACTTTTAAAATTTGGTGATTTTATATAATTAACTGTTACATGACCATTAATTAGATAAAATACTCTAAATATTTTTTATTGAGATGAAAATTTTTTCAAATATATTCAATTAGATTTTTGTACACTTTAGGATAAATGTGTTTATTAAATACATTCAAGTGTACATGTAAAAATTTATAAAGAGAAATCTTTGATTTGAAAAAAAATTTTTTTTTTTTTTTTTCATTCTGATTATTACCATTATGATTAATTGCTACTACATGTGAATTTTTAGCTTTTGAATTGCTACTTTGATTTCTTTTCTGTTGAAAGTAATAAAATACTTAATTTATTAATGTGACTATGTGGCATGTTTAGAAAGATTAAGTGTAAACCATTAAACTAATACTTATTTAAACAAGAGATTTTATTTTGAAGTAAAATAAACATATTTAAATTTGTTTTAGAAAAACAACTTTAAATAATGTTACAACGCGATTTTTTTTTAAATTCAAGTATTTTTAAATATTCCCTATTAAAAATACATAAATTTATTTCTTATAAAAAATATATTAAATCAAGTCTTATTAAAATTAATTTTTACTCGATGATAATTTTATTGTTAAAATGATTTTTCTTTGCCGATATAAATATAAAAGGTTTTTATGCAGTCAAATCAATAAATAAATAAATTGCACTATTAATTGCATTTAAATTTTTTTTAAAAATTGAATTAAAATATGTGGAATTGTTTAGGCAAAGTTTAATGGCTCATTTTCATATTTATTTAAAGAAAGAGAGAGAGAGAGAGAGAGAGAGAGGGGGGGGGGAAAGAAAGAAAAAGAAAAAAAGCTTAAATTAACAGAAATTTGATTTTTTATTTAGTTTAAAATTATTAAGATTTACATTATTATCGCTTATTTCATTATAATTTTTTTTGATTTCATTGTTCATTGTTGTATTCTATTACAATATTTTTTGTGATATTTACTTTACACTCTTTAAAATATTAGAAATTTAGTTTTTATTATTTTGACAAAAAAAAAAAAAAAAAAGGAAATTTAAAAAAATTTATTTAATTTTTCGATTGTAAATCATTTTTGTATTTTTTTGTATTTTTTTCTCTCTCTCGAAAGTTTTTTTTTTTTTTTTTTTTTCTTAATGATAATTTATGTCATTTTAATTTTCCATTTTTTATTTTACAGTCTATTTAATTTGATTATAAGTATTTACTTATAACATATTTACACAGATTGCACATTACACACATTTTTACTCTTATAATGAGGTTTTAATCTCGAACTTTTTATTTGAACAAGTAAAAAATATTTTTCTCCCCCCCCCCCCCCCGAAAATATTGACTGTGTATTCCTAAAAAAAAAAATTTTTATAGCATTAAATGCCTTTGTTCCCTTTTTTTTTGTTTAATTGAATGGACTGCCACTAATTAATTATTTTACCTTAAATATAGATTTTTTTTTGTTTTGTTTGCATCATTGAGTTTTGACTTTTATTGTCATTATAAAACAGTAAATATTAAAAATGGCGAGTGAGTTTTTAATATAAATAAATATATAATTAAATTTTATTTAAAATAATATTGTAGATTTATCAGCGGTTTTTGAATTATTTAAAATTGGTTTTTGGTCAATAAAACGTTGCTGAACATTAAAAACAAAGTTTATTAGCCGAGAGTTAAATAAATGGAAATAAATAAGCTTTTTTTTTTTTTTTTTTGAAAAATCATTGGGGGTTTGTTTGTTTGTTGTTTTTTATCGTGAGGAAAAGGAAATGTTTGTATAATGTTATTATTATTCGCATTTAAATTTTTCACATTCAGTCAAATTAACAAACTGTGAAGGTACAAACAAGGCATGGTTTTCTCGACCGCAGAACGAAAAAAAAAAAAAAAAAAGGAAAAAAAAGAAAGAAAAAAAAAAGTAATTTTAACTTGACATGGCGGTTGCATATCCGTAGAAAGTTAATCACTTGGCAATTGCTGCACCGAGGATCGTGTTTCGAACAAAGTCCACAGAAGCGATGGGAATAAGTTGGTTTTAAGGTTTTTTTTTTTTTTTTATTTTATTTTATTATTATTATTATTAAAAAATTCTTTTTGCCTTATGTTTGCCTTTTGCGTTGATTATGTTTTCTTTTGAGACTTATTATAATTCCCAACTTTTTTGTTGTTGTTGTTGTTGTGATTTAACTTTGGATGTTTAGCTTATGTTAAAAACGGTTTTTTTTGAGAGAGAGAAAAAAAAAGAATAACATTGAAACACACGCATTCAGAGAGAGAAAGAGAGAGAGTTCATTTCATTTCTTTGGTATTCGACTGTAATGGTTGTCTTCGTAAAATTCAGAGCCTAACGTAAGCATTTACAATATATCCACGCTTTTAAATATTTTTTTTTTTTTTTTGATCCGCCTCCTCCTTGTCGTTTATTACTCAAAGATTTACTCAAATCAACGGCACTGTAATGTTGGTAGTAGTGGCGGTGGAAGTGGTGGCAGTAAATAAATGTTTTTCTTTTTTTCCTCTCCTCCTATTGTTATGAAACAAAACAAAAAAAAAAAAAAAAAAATGAAAATGCCTATTTCCAGTTAAATTTAAATCTATATTTAGCTCGTCTCACTTTTTTTTTTCTCGGGGGGGTGGGGGTGGGGGAGGGTAATTATTGCAGAATTATTGCAGGGCGCTTCACGCCTTTTTAAATTACAGTTTTTTTTCTCTTTTAATCTCACTTTGAAAAATATCTACGTAAACTATTTTTTTTTTTTTTTTTTTTTTTGTATGCGTATTTCGTAGTTGTAAATTAATGGGTCATTAATGACGAAAATAATAATAATAATAATAATAGCTTTCTATTAAAGCGCGATATTTACATGGGGCAACGCCAAAGCAACTTTTTTGTGAACTTGGCCAAGTAGCCGTAAAAAATTTATAATTTAGAGGAAAAATAATCATTTATTAAAAAAAAAAAAAAAAAAAAAATGGCGTATCCCCACGCACACACACAATGAATTGAATGAGAATTTATCGATTGAAAATTCGAATTTAATGCCTCGGTTGTAATAGTTTAATTTTTTTTTTTTTTTTAATTAATTATATTCTGTCAATTTGTTTTTTTTTTTTTTTTTTCTTTTGAATCTGAAGAAATTATTATTATTATTATACCTACAGGGTAAATAAATTTGTTTGACGTATCGTAAAAATTTATTGTTTTTAAAAATCCGCGAATTTTTATTTATTTATTTATTTAATTAATTTTAGTTTTTGAAAGTGTTAATAAAAAGTTTATTTATTTATTTATTTATTTGTTTGATTGTTTGTTTAATATTGTAATTATTATTGAATGGAGGATTTTGTTCATGCGTGAAGAAAACATTATAGATTTTATTTATTTATTTATGTGAAAGGAACGATGGTGAAGTAATCAAGTTGTCATGTAAGCTTTATATAATTTTCAGGTGTAAAAAAAAAAAAAAAAGAGAAAGAGAAAGAGAGAGAGAGAGAGAGAGAAAGAAATGGGGGTAACGGTACTTCAACAATTTCCCTTTGTGGAAAATCGTACGGGTCCGCAAACGATTGAATTACTCACAAAGAGAATCGTCGCTCTTGGAGCCGTTCAATGTGGTCAATTTCTCGTGGATTGCGAAACGTACACGTCGACATCGGCATTGGGATCCCAGAAAACTCTACACGTTTTCCATAATTCCGAACAACCGGCAACCGTTTTTTCAATATTGGAAACGGGAACGAAAACCGTTTCCCTCGTCGCAGACGGACTATTCGATCTTCTCATGCTTAAAATGACGTCTATTTACACGTCGAAAAAACAAACGAAATGCGAATCGAAAGGATCGAGATTCGAACTGGGAGATTTTTGCGTGAAATTGGGAAACGTGACCATGAGTCAGAGTTTCAAAGGAGTTTTGGTCGAGGTCGAATATCGACCCTGTTGCATTCCTGCCAACTGTTGGGAATTGCTCAAAGAGTTTTTACAAGGATTTTTAGGATCCTGCGTTCAAAGTGCTCCTCCGGCTTACCTTCAAGCTCGGATAAATGATTTATATCAACCGATTGATACAATACACCAATATTTGGAACATTTTAGCTTGTACAGGAAAGCTCCGGGAGTCCGTTGATTGATTGATTGATTGATTGATTTCCCCCACCCCCATGCCCCTCCCTCCCCCCCGGCTTAAACAAAAAAAATTAAAAGTGATATTTTGAATTGATTGTGTTTGTTGTTGTGAGCATTTCATTTAAACTTATTCTATGTGTCTTTTTTGTCGTTACAGTGAATAGTAATTCTATAAACAGTTTTTCCTTTTTTTTTTTTTTTTTTTGTAGTTTGAAATTGTTGCGAAAATATAATTAATTGAAAATAATTAATATATATATTATAATATAAATATTTCGCACCCACCGTTTAATAATAAACGTGTTTACAATTTGTGTGTGTGTGTGTGTGTCAAAGGTTTGCCGACACATTATTTTATATCAATATATAAATATTGAGATTCTTTGAAAGTTTTGTTGTTCAATTTAATTTTTATTTAATAAAAAGGAAAAAAGGAAAGTTACAAATTACTTTGTTGTCGTTATTATTATTATTATTATTATTATTTAAAGTTTTTGCTTGATTTTACATACTTTATACTAACCTGATAAGTTCTCATTATTTCGATTTCGAACCAAAATCAATCAATGAATTTATGAAAACATTAAATAAAATGTTTGTTTGTTTGTTTGTTTTGTTTGTTTTGTTCGTTTGTTATGTTTTCGATTAATAAATCTGATTATATAAAACGTAATAAAAGAATATTTATTTAAATGGTTGCATTTGAAATAACGACAAATGTACATATTCATATTTATTTTTAAAAAAAAAAAATTATTAATTTAACGGATTTGTTGCAAATAAAAATGACGTTTTTTTTGGGGGGGGGAGGGGGGGAGACATATTGAATGCGAATTGAAAAAATTTTTTTTTTTTTCACTTTGGTTAAACTCGAAAAACGTTATAATATTATTATTAATAATTTTGAGCTCGAATTAAAAGCATTAAAATATGTGTTAGGGATGATGATTTCAATGACTAAATTTTCCTCTCTCTCTCTTTCTCTCTCTTTTTTTTTCTCTCTCTCTCTCTCTTAAATAAATAAAAAAGCTGAAAAAAAAAACATAAAAAAAAAAAAGAGGGAAAGGAAAGAAAAAAAAAAAAAGAGCATTATATATAGAGTGAGTTATTATTCAGTTGAAGTTTAACATGAAAAAGGAAGGTGAGAAATAGAAAATGAGTCTTTTAGCAGCATCCGAAGAAGGAGTCGTCGGTGCGGTGCGGATCAATATCGGCTGCTCTCTGTGAATCTTTCTTTCTCTATCTTTCTTTCTTTCTTTCTTTCTCTATCTTTCTTTCTTTCTTTCTTTCTTTCTTTCTTTCTCTATCTTTCTTTCTTTCTTTCTTTCTCTATCTTTCTTTCTTTCTCCTTCTATATAGATATTCTTTTCTTCTTTTTTTATCTCGTTTTCTCTTTACTCGGGTTAGCTAACTTAAAAAATTTTCAAAAAAAAAAAAAAAGGTTTTTTTTCCCCTCTTCCTCTCTCTTTCTCTCTCTCTCTCGCTCTCTTTCTAATAAAAAAATAAATTTTAGTTTGAAATTATAAAATTGAAATTTTTTTTTTTTTTTACGTCATTCTTTTGATATTTTACCCGGGGGGGGGGGGGTTTAAAATAAATTTTATTATTTATATTATTCTTTCTATTAATTAATTTAAATTTTATTTCTGCAATCAAGCTCATTAAAAACAAGTTGACGCCATCGATTTATATAGTTTTTAATGTTTACCAAAAAAAATTTTTTCATTTTGTTTTTTTTTTTTTTTTGATAAATTTTCATAATCGTGAGGATTTATTTTATTTATTTTATTTTATTTTAATTATTTTAATCTGGTTTGTCTGCGTGTGTTTGTGTGCGTGTGCGTGTACGTGCGTGCGTGCGTGCCATTTCGAAATCATTTCAGGTGAGGAAATTATTTTTAAAAAATTTGACAATTCTTCTTTGCAATTCATTTTATTTCGTTTTCCGATATTTCCGGTTTTTTTTTTTTTTTTTTTTTTCAAAATGGCTGATGGGTAATCGTGTGCCTAATTTTGTGGTATGATTAAAATTTTTTCGTTTTAGCCTTGGAGTATGTCTTTTAGCTCTTTTTTTTTTTTCTATCTCTCTGTCTCTCTCTAAACTAGTAATTCTACTTTTCAAATAAAAATTATAAAATAACGAATTTAAAAAAAATATATAATAACTTTTTACGGAGGGTGAAAGGAGCCTATGTAAACTCTTGTATTTGTACAATTAATGCCTAAGATGTTCTTTGTTATAAGCAAAGGTTTTCGAAATGTAATCGTCCATGTTGTGATGATGATGGCCCCTTTTTGTTAGTTTTTACATTGCTCCTCCTGAGGAAGGATTTTTTAATTTTGTCTTTTTGTGGATAAACGGGCAATACATTCTGAAATAGAAAAGAAAATCGTTTTGCATGCATTTTGAAAGCTGGAAATGTCTGTTAGAAATTCAGAGCTTTGATATTACTTGCTGTTGATACTCGATTACGACGAAGTCAAAGACCCAGAACTGATTTGCTTGTCAACTTTTCAAACTGGCGCTATAATTTATTTATTGTCCGCGAGACAGCGCTTTTACACACTTGCATATATGTATATATTAACGTGCTAACGTAAATGACCACTTTATGGTCAGTGAATAATAAAAATAATAATAATAATAATAATAATAATAATAATAATAATAATAATAATAATAATAATAATAATAATTTATTTTTTATTGCTTTGAAAAATAATTTAAGGAAAAAACTAATTTTCCCTACGTGCAATTTTAATTTATCAAAAAATTTAATTTTATACGCCGCCAACAGGTTAATTGATTGACATATATATCAAGATAAAGAAAAAAATATTCTTTTTGTTTTGACTTTAAAAAAAAAATAATAATACAGAAGCCATGTATATTCTTTTTTAGTTTGTTTTTCTTTGTAATTAATTATGTAGCTTATCTATTAATGATTGGTACACACACACACACACACACACACAATGTATTGTAATAGAAATGTAAGATTAAATTGCAGGGTTCAACATTTTACAAAGATGTTGCGGCGAAGCTTCGGGGGGTTTAGAGAAAAGGGAAAACCCACCACCACCACCACTACTGGCCACTTGTTTTTTTTTAAGGGATGAAATTGGAATTTCCTTTAAAAATTTAAACTAATTAAAAAAAAAAATCAACAACAAATATGTAAATATTGACAGCCATCTTTTCTTTCTTTATTTCACATGGTAAATTAAATTATTGTCGTTAATATAAGTTTTAAAAAATGAGATAATTGTTTCTCTTGCACCAGAAAAAAAAAAAAAATGTATATATATATATATATATATATCTATTGAAACGGGATTTTTGTTTTTCAAAACGTTTTATAATTCTTACGAGCGGTTCTAAATGTAAAAAGACCATTGTTGGTAATTCAAAAAATAAATACATTTAGGTCTTCTTATTCATCCGTATACCATTTTGATCTCCCTCGTTCCTTTGTGTTGAAAAATTAAAAGTTGACGTGGCTGTTGCTGCACCGAGGAATGCTTTGCTATCGACAACGGAAAGGTGCGAGACAAGCCGAACGCGCCCGAATTTGCCCTGTTCGGTTTCAAAGCGTAGCGATGGCATCGACAAACGCGTTTTTGGGTGGAAAATAAAATAAAAAAAAAAAAAAAAATTTTTTTTTCCTTGTGTGTGATTGTGTTTAATTTGTGAAAAAAATAAAAAAATATGCCTTTTCAGTTGGATTTTTAATAATAATAATAATAATAATAATAATAAAAAGGATAATTATTGTAAATGTCGATATCGTTTGAAAATAATTTGAAATATTCGATCGTATAATACCCGGCGTTGATGTGCGGAGTGCAGTTTAGTTTTTTTTCTTTTTGTTTTTTTTTTTTTTTTTGTTCCACCATTGAGTTTATTTTTTAATAAAGGAGATTTCAAAAAAAAAAAAAAAAAAAAAAAAAAAAAGAGGGAAAAATGTTTGATGTTTGTGTTTTAGAATCGTTGTAAATTGAATGTGAAACAAAAAAAATAATAATATTTATTATAATTTGTTATGTAAATTTAAAAAATTGTTTACGATTCAGCGTAATGTTTGTGGATATAATTAATTATTGACACCATATACACACACACACGCACGCTGCGCTACGCAATCAAATATTGTTGTCGATCCTTGTTGGTTTCACAAATAATTATTTAGGAATTAGTAAAGTTTCGGATTAGATTTTCCGTGCATGAAAATTTTAACGAACGTGAAAAGGTAAGCATAAGTTTTTAATATAAACGTGGAACATTTAGAAAGAGGTTTGCCATTGCAAGAGAGAAAGAAAGAAAGAGAGAGAGAGAGAGAAGGGCGTGGGGTTGACGCTTTCTCTCTTTTTTTTTTTTTTTTTCTTTCTTTCTCTTTCTTATTCCTCTTGTTAACTCCATCCTTGTGTGTGTTCCTCCTTTTTCTTCTTCTTCTTCTCTTTATTTTAAAGCATATATTTTTGTTTAAAAAGTTTTTTTTTTAAAAAAATATTTACTCCTCATATTATTATTATTATTATTATTATTATTTTTTTTTTTTTTTCTAAACACTTGCAAACAATTATTAATTCCTATGTAAATAAAAAAAAAATTTTTTTTTCGAAAAAAAGAAAAATAGTAAATATTTCTTTTGTTGTAAGTGAAATTACAATTATCATTATCATTATTATTATTGTTATTATTATCATTATCATTATTATTATTGTTATTATTATTATTATCATTATTATTATTATCATTATTATTATTATTATTTGAACTTTAATGTCATCATACGCGGTTTATTATTGTTTGTTTGTTTTTGTTCATGTCAAAGAATGACGATATGATAAAAATCTTTTTTTTACTTGATTAAAATTTAAATGATTTTGTCTCGTTTTTTCTTCTTTTCTTTTCTTTTCCATAGAGTAAAAATTATGTCATGAGTTAAAAAAATGAATGTTTTTGTTATTATTTATTTATTTATTTATTTAAACAAAAAAAAATTTGATTTAAACAATGGGTTGTTTGTTATTAATAAGAATTATAAAAACCTGTTTTGTACCGAAAAAGCAAGGTATTTGTAAAAAAAACTTTTTTGTTTATTAATTGAGGGTTATGAATGAAAGATTGGTTATATTAAAAAAAAAAATAATAATAATAATAATGATTCGCCATATAAATTTATTATTAAAAAAAAAAAAAAAATCAGTGGCATTTAATTCAATTAATATTTGGGGGAAAAAAATGATGGATGGATGATGAGGTTTTGTGGTGAAAGTTAAATGGAAGAAAAAACAGGGAAAAAAAAAATTAACAAAAGATTTGTTTTTTTTTCCTCCTCCTCCTCCTCCTCCTCCTCCCCTTTTTTTTTATTTTTGTTTTTAATTATATTATTGTTATTAATATTATTGCTAAAGATGGGGCGTGCAGGTCAAGATAACAAAAAAAAAAAAAGAAAAAAAATATTTAACTTTTGTCTTTATTTAAAAATCAAGTCATTATTATTATTATTATTATTATTATTATTATTATTATGATATTTATATATCATTATTTTGTTATCAGTGTAGTAATGAAAATATATAATTGCCTGCTAAATTAGTATAAACATTTTTTTTTTATTTTTTATTTTGAAACGCATTTATAATAATAAAAAAAAAAAAAAATAAAGTAATTAAAAGAGAAAAAAAGATTATTGGCATTTGTGAAAATGGATAGGTGGGCCTTTTTAAAGGAAAAGTCATTGTTTCCACGACGCATTTTTTCTTCTTCTCTCCCTCTCCCTCCCTTCGTCCCTCCCTCTTTGTCCTTCCCCTCACTCCCGGGAAATTCGATACGCGCTAAATACTCTCTGAACTATTTTTCCTTTTTAATTCTTCCGGGGGGGTGGGGGTGGGGAAAGAACGTTAAAATTTGACGTAGGTACCCCGGGATATTTTTTTTTTTAAACTTGCTGCTCACTGTAGAGATTGTACAGCCCCCTCCCCTCCTCCCCCCCAATCGAATTGGAATCAAAGATTTAAATGGGTTTAATTCGATAAAAAAAAAAAAATTTCCATGAGAATTTAAGCATTAAGAGAAGGGATTCCGCCGTGAAATTTGTTTTAAACATGTCGAGAGTAGAATATTTTAATGAAGGAAATGATGATGATAATAATAACAATAACATGAAATTAAAAGGAGTCACACTAACGATGATGATGATGATTGAATTATAAAATTTATTAATGAGTATTTATTATTATTATTATTATTATTATTACCCGAGAGATGGGTGGTGGTGGTGTTGATAAAAAAAAAAAAAAAACAGGAAAACTCCTCCCCCTGGGGGTTTCTCGCAATTCAGTTTTTCATAATAATCCCCTAAAGTTTTGATTCGAATTAAAACAATTATTATTATTATTATTAATATTATTGATGTGGAAAAATTTTAAGCACTCGTTAATTAAAATAATTTTTTAATAATAATAATAATAATAATAATAATAATAATAATATTTTATTTTAATTGTATTATAGTTTCTCTCTCTCTTTCTCTCTTTCACAAACGTTTTTGTCTTTTTTTTCTTTTTATTTTATTGATTTTTTTGTCTTTACGAAACTTAATTGACTAGTTTTTTTTGTACTGTGCCTGCTGTCGAGTGAAAAAAAATAAAATAAAATGATAATATTGAAAGATTTTGAACCTGAGTGTGTGAGGATCCAAAGGTTGGAAAGTGGGGGGTGGTAACCACTAAGGTAACGAACGAATGAATGAATGAATGAATGAATGATGGTGGATGGAGGAGGGTTTTTATTTATAATTTATATTTTCTATATTTTATACAAGATGAATTGAATTGTTTGTATACACGGTCGGAGTTCTTTGATACCTTCTTAATCCTTTTTTTTTTTTTTTTTTTAGGAATGTGTCTTATATTTCTTTAATTTTTTTCTTCTTCTTCTTCTTCTTTTACTTTAAATGTCGAAGATTCCTGGTTGAAATGTGGAATCAGTGGGCCCTCTCCCAATGATGGCTGAAATTATTTACTTTTTTAATTTTCCAATTTATTATTATTATTATTATTAAATTGTTAAACAAATGAGATTGATTTGACTTGACAAAAACAAAATAATTATTAGATTCTTACGTACGTACGTACGTAAGAGAAAATGATTACGTAAAAAAAAAAAAAAAAAAAAAAAAAAAAAAAATTTTTTTAAAAATATTTTTTAAGCAAGGGATTTGCTGACTAAGTCAATCAATCACTTTTGATTTTTAACGCGCGCGTTAACATTTTTATTTTCTTTCTTTTTTTTTTTTTTTTTTTTTTTTTTTTTGACAGGTATTTAAAAATCTGAAAAATAAAAAAAAATTAAGTTAAATTAAATGTTGTTGTTGTTACATTTACAAGTCGTCATATTACATAATGATGATGATGATGATGATGATGATTCATTTGTATTATTATTATTATTATTACTATTATTATTATTATTATTATTATTATTACTCTTATTAAAACTTTGAATAAGTAAATTAATTTTTTTTTTTAATTTATTATTTTTGTCGTATTATTATTTTGTTTCTTTTCGAAAAGAAAAAGAAAAAGTTTTTTTATTATTCTTAAATCTGGTTTAACTTAAAGGGCTATTATTATTATTATTATTTTTTTTAAAAAAAAAAGAAGGGCAGTATTTAGAGGCGTGTTAAAATCAATAATATTTGTAAAAAAAAAAAAAAAAGTTTTCTACATGTTTTTCTAAACTGCCTACGTTTTAGTTTTGTTTTTGTTTTTGAAAAATGAAAAAAAAAAAAATAGTAGGACCAAATAAAAATATTTTTTATTTTTTATAAAATGAGTTTTCTCAAAGGTATAAAATAAATGTTTACAACCTTGCAATGTAAATATAAAATAAATTAAATTGAAGTCAACGAACTACTTAATTTAAAAAAAAAAAAAAAAAAAAAAAAGTGAAATTTGCATTTCAATAAATTTTGTATTTATTTGCTTTTTTTTTTTTTTTTTTTTTTTTATTTATTTATTCAATATAAAGTCGTTCTATCTATTTTAGTTTTTTTTTTTTTTTTTTTAAATTTTTTGTCGTTCAAGTCACTGGTTGCGGTTTAACACTTTTTACTTTACTCAGATAATAATAAAATTATAAAATTGAATTTACTTTATGTTACTTTCATTATTATTATTATTATTTTGTTAATATTCGCCTTTAAACATAATTATTTGGGTTGGTTAATTTATTTTTATCGAACATCGACTTACTCGGCTTAATTATATTAGCCCAAAAAAAAAAAAAAAAAAATTTTTTTTTGATGAAAAAATTAATTCTTGACTTTATTAATTGTTTGTTTGAAGTGAATTTGAATTTATGACGTTGTATCTCATTTTGTTACATTTTTTACTAAATTTTAAATTTTTACTTTTTCAGGGGATAGGATGGCTGCGGCCTGGGTGCCCGGTGGGCCCCGGCACCCCTCCTCCCCGTCACGCGTATGGCTGCCCCAATGAGAGACAGCGCGGTAGACAACGGCCACCGAGCAAAGGTGGCAGACCCCAGGACGGCGGCAGCTACCAACTTTGAATACGACGATAATGAGTGGGACATAGGAATTGGCGATTTAATTATTGATTTGGATGCTGATATAGAGAAGACAAACGAAAAGGCGGGTGGCCCCGCCGGTGGCCCAATGGCTCAAGCAGCCGGTAAAACCAAAATGGCCGTAGAGCATTCTGCGACCGTACAAGATAAAGGTCTTAAAATGAAAATCAAACGGACCAAACCCGGAACAAAAACTTCTGAAGCGAAACACGAAATTGTTAAGCCGGGAGAACAAAACGGATCCGAGTTATTAAGTGATAAGGGTAAACACCCCCCTCAGACTCCGGGAGTGACGAAAAGAGTATCGGGTGGACATAGAAAAGACAAGGCTCGTGAAAAGCATTGCGGCGGTGACAAGCCTTTGACGAAGCCATCGTCGGGTCCGTCGATACCCGAAACATCAACAGTGAACAGTGTTAATGTGAACGGAGTTGCGCGGAGTGCAGTTTCTATAGCCTCATCCGTCATGACGACTCCTCAATCGGCACAACAGCCCAGGCCAGTGTTTCCAGCGTCTCACGGCCCGGGACCTCCTCCGAGCGCGGTTCCAACCACGCCGGGGGGACCTCCTACGCCAGCTACAACTCCAAAACTTGAACCTCCTCGACTCACGGCCGCCGTGCCAGGTCCGGGAGCGGCTTCAGGTTCGGAGGAAAGATCATCTTCGTCTTCTCCTCCGCCAACAAAGAAAATAAAAACGACTACGTTGGAATCAAAAGTAAGTGTATTTAATTATATTTGTTTTTTTGACGGGTGTGCACACGTATTTTTAAAAAAAAATTGTTTATGTATTTATAATAAAGTTGAGCAACAAATTGAAGAAAACAAATAATGTTTTTTTTTATCGAGAAGCACAAGTTGATAATGATAATATAATAAGTACTTTTAAATTATTTTGTTTTGAAAACATGGATGTAATAATAAAAAATTTACTTGAGATCACGTCACACAACGTTTTGCGTACTCTAATCTGTACTAGATTTCTTGTGTAATTATAAATAATTCTAATCTTTTGTCTTTATAAAAGGCCAAAATAATTTTATAAAATTGTTTTTTTGGGCGTTAAAAAAAAAAAAAAAAAAAAAACCGGTAAAGTAAATTTGTTTAAAAAAAATTTGTTTTTAAATAAACAAAATGCACAATGTGTTAAAAAAATTAGTATTTTTGTATTAGTTTCACCCCTATTTCTTTCTTTCTTTTTTTGTCTCTTTTCTAAAGTACTCAAGCATAAACAACAACCCCCTACGTCATAAAAATATAACAATGGATGCTCATCATCATCATCATCATCATCATCATTTCCGAAGGGAAGAATCGAAGATTAACCTAATTAATCTACCGTGTCATGCGTCCGATGTTTTCTCCCCCTCATGAATGAGGTTGTAAGGACGATGCCTCGATTATCACCAAGTCCCAAAGGAGTATTCACCCCTTTTGTGATTTCGTTTTACCAATTCGTAAACTTTATTGTGTGCTCCCCCTCCTCCCCCCCTTTTTTTTTACTTAAAACGTTTCATTTGAGCGCAAAAAAAAAAAAAAAAAAAATTGTGTAATTTAAGATTTTGTGGGTTTTTTTCTCTCTCTTTCTCTCTCGTAGGGATAAAGTGATCAAATATAAGATGTGTAATAATTTTATTTGTTGCTCGCTAAAAAAAAAAAAAAAAATATAAATTTCACTTTCGTAAATATTCTTGGATAAAACCCTCCGTTTAATTTTGTTCTTTAAAGAAAGCGAATTTGTTTAACATTCCTACAGGTGGTATAAATTTTCCGGGTTTAAACAAAAAAAAAAAAAGAAAATTATGAAGGCAGGCGAGAAAGGAATGACATCTTCTATTCGAGACACCATAAAAAATTGTCAACCCAATTTTTTTTTTAATTATAAAATGCATCCATTTGTTTACCACTAAATATTATTTAGTTTTAAATCTAAATGATTAATGAGGATTTAAATCCGAAATTCTTCCTTTTAATAATTTTTATTTTGTTTTTTAATAGGATGTTGTAGATGTTTGTGTGGGAACGAGTGTAGGAACCATCACCGAGCCAGATTGCTTGGGGCCATGTGAACCAGGCACAAGTGTTACTTTAGAGGGCATTGTGTGGCATGAGACTGAAGGCGGTAAGAATAATATTTTATTCTATTTAAAATTGTAATTTTATACATTTTTTTTTTTAAAAAGAAAAAATGAAATTTTCATTTTATTATAAAAGAAGTAAAATCTATGAAATTTTTGCCCATAATTTTTTTTTTTTTTTTTTTTTTGTAAAACTAATTGGAATAATTTAGATTTGAAAAAATATTTTGATATGTACAATTTATTATTATTATTTTCTCTCTCTCTCTCAGGTGTACTGGTTGTAAATGTTACTTGGAGAGGGAAGACTTACGTTGGTACACTTCTGGACTGTACACGACATGACTGGGCTCCTCCACGATTTTGTGATTCCCCTACAAGCGATTTGGATGCCCGAACGCCTAAAGGCCGAGGCAAAAGAGGCCGAACCTCAAACAGTACAAATTCTTCGGGAGATTTAAGTAACTTTACGGAAACTAGATCTTCCGTTCACAGTAAATTAAGAAACGGTAGCACAAAGGGAGGACGAGGCGGAAGGGGAAACACCCCGGCGTCCGGAAGCTCTGGAACCAATTCGACTGGTTCTAATTCTCCTACGCCTTTTATTCCGCCAAAGCAAGAAACTAGGAAAAAGTCAAAGGAAAGAGATACTACTCCTACTCCTGTTAGTAAGAAAAATAAAACTCCATTGTCGGCTCCCAGTAGCCCGCCAGCTTCGCCGGTGCTATTAGAGTGCCCTGAACCAAATTGTTCCAAGAAGTATAAGCATATCAATGGATTGAAATATCATCAGTCGCATGCTCATGGTTCGGCTGATGATGATGACACTAAAGACGCAACCAGTTTTTCAGAAAACGAAGAAAGCAATACAGAAGCCCCCAGCCCTTCAGCCACTCCTGTAAAATCTCCTTCTGAAAAGACTGAAACTCTTAAAAAAGAAGAGTTATCTCAAAGTGCTCCCGTACTTTCTCCTAGCGTTAATCCCTGTCAGGTCGCTCAAGATCCACTTGCTCTTCCCAAACCTGATCCAGATTCTCCAAGTGTTGCCGTTCCTTTGACTCCTATTCCTTTGGCACCTCAACCTACGGACCTTGCATTAATCAGTTCGTCTCAAAATGCTCCCGTGCTATCCCCAAGCGTGAATCCTTGTCATATTTCTCAAGATCCACTTGCGCTTCCTAAAACACCCAATCCCGAGTCACCGACTGTTTCAGTTCCCTTAACTCCTAGACCTTTGACTCCTCAACCCATGGATCTAGCTTTAATCAGTTCGTCTCCAGTTTCATCTTCATCTTCGGAAAATGTAAAAGGAAATGTAAAACCAAGCGTTTTAAGATTTGGTCCTCCAGATGAGGATTATTCGGTTGGCATTTTTAGTGGTAATAAATCGGCAATGCCTTCATCTGTGATCCCTATTCCAGGTAGTTCTAGTTTGATTTCTAGTGGTTCACTGTCGAGTGTCAGAAATTCTGCTGTAACAGCAATTTCGAATGTCGGACAAGTTGCACACAGTACACCTATAACCGTTCCGAACCCACATAATCATTCTATTCCAGTTTCGTCATCTCACATGCAACCACCAGTGAACATACAAAATCAATCCGTGCATCAACCTTTAACCCCGGGATCATTATCCCAACAATTGCCAATTAAACTCCCTCAGTTTAAACTCAAGCCTACCGCGTCACTAATGCCAGATGACAAAAGTAAAGAAAGAGACAGGAGCTCTAAATTGCCTTCAGGCTATAAAAAGAAGAGTAGGAAATCTCCTGCTGGAAGTCCTCACCCCCCGAGCGATTCATCTTTCGGCATGGACTCCACGGGTCGTGAAGATCTCCAAAGTCCAGCATATTCTGATATTTCAGATGATGCTGCTCCTGTCCTCGAATCGGAAGTTGGAGATAAAACAAAAGGCTCAGGAGAAAAAAAAGGGGAATCAAATAATGCCAGTTCACCGCATGGAATCCCTTCATACGGAATTTACGGGTCTTTTTACGGACAACCTCCATATTTAGTTCCTTCCGTACCGCCAGAAGTCAAGTCGAAAGAAAATCCAGAGAAACCAGATACAAAGCCGGGTGAAAAAGAGATAAAAAAAGAAGTTGGCAGAAACGAATATTCTCAAAAACTTATACAACATCCGTCTCATTACTATCCGTACGGTTACGTACCCAGTTATCCAGGAGGATACATGGAACCTAGTTATCCCTTAATGGTGTCGGAAGATAAAAATAAAGAGTCCACAAAAGGCGACAAAAGCCCAGGGCCCACGGATATGGCAAAACACGGGGTCGCTCCCATTCAGGTTCCGAATCCAGTAAAAGTTAAACAAGAGCCTGGCGTCAAAGAAACAAAACATCCGAACGAAAATCACCAAATCATTAAGGAGAGTATTGAAATGAAAAGCCAAATGAGCTCATTCATATATTCAAGACAATCTCAGTCAAATCAAGCCCAAGAAGATCTAAAAAGATATTTGTATCAGAGAGGAAGAGAACAAGGAGGTCAAATAGAACAACCGAAGCAATTCACTTCGAGTAGTAAACTACCTCCATCTAATCCGAGTCCTAAATTAAAAGAAAAAGCCGTCGAAGAAAAGAAAGAAGACAAAATTAAACAAGAAGGGCAAAAACCCACGATGGAAACACAAGGTCCTCCTCCGCCCCCCACTAGCCAATATTATATTCATCCCAGTTACATGCAAAGCCCGCATTACGGAGCCCTTCCCTTCGATCCAAATCATCCAGTTTATCGTAACATAAATCCAATGTTGGTACCCGGCCCCTACGCAACCAATCCCTACCTCGGAATTCCCAGGTATCACGCTCCAGAGGATCTCTCTAGATCTCCGTCGGGTACTACCAAAGCACTCGATTTATTACAACATCACGCAAATCAATACTACACATCTCATAAAATTCACGAACTCCAAGAGCGAGCACTTAAATCGCCCACTCCGACAAAGTCGGCTCCGTCTAGAGAGTCGCCATCGGGTGTGCCACCGACTCGACCTCCTTCCGGACCTCCTCAAGCCCCTCCAACATCAACTCCGAATAGTATTTCCGGTCCTTCGCCTCCGGTAAAACCTCCGCTAGGAGATAAGGATTCGAGATCACCTCCTCCACAAAGACACGTTCACACACATCATCATACTCATGTCGGCCTAACTTATCCTATACTTACAGGACAATATCCCGCTCCTTACGGAGGTAAGCCAAATAGTATCTTTTAATTGCAGTGTTTCATTGGTCAAATCGGTTTTTTTTTTTCTTTTTCTTTTTTTTTTTTTTTTTTTTTTTGTTAATTGTAATTTATTTTCTACAGCTGCCGTTTTAGCCAGTCAGCAAGCAGCAGCTGTTGCGGCGTCCGTAATGAACCCTTATCCGCCTAAATGAAAAGAAGCTAAATGAAAATTTCATTTAGGGAGCCTTTTTTTTTTTATATAATGATGATTTCAAAATTAAATTTTCTCGATGATAATAATAATAATAATTATTATTCCTTTTTACGCTTAAACTTATTTTTTGGCTAATTTCTTTATTTTTTTTTTTTTTTTTTTTAGTATTTTTATATATTACACACACACACACACATAAATATATATAATTATATACTTAATGCCAAAGACAATGTTCACAAAGAACAACAGATGATTTTGTTTTTCTTTTTTTTTTTTTTTTTTCTTTTTTTTTGAAATTTATCTCTGTCGATTTTTTTTTTTTTTTGTTCTTCGTTTCGTCGTCATCATCATCCTCTTCTTTCTCTCGACGGGTTAGCTCTCTTAAGTTTAAACATATGAAAAAAACATATTTTCATTTGTCTCAAAATCGATAAACTTTTAATTAAAATTAATATATTTATGTATATTAATTTATACATTTATGTAAATTATTATTAATATGCAATTGATATGGAAACGGCACGTAGAGAAAAAAGAAAATTTTAAGGTTTGATGATTTTAAATTGATATTTATTCCCGAAAATTAAAGGTTAAAAAAAAAAAAAAAAAGATTTAATATTATTATTATTATTATTTTCGAGACATTTAAATGAATGTGTTGCTTTTGTAAGGGAAAGCAGAAGTCATGTAAATGATAAAATTATTGTTTGTTTGTGTGTGTGTGTGTGTGCGCGTGCATTAAATAAAATTAATTTTTTTTTTTTTTTGATTGTTTTGTTTTGTTTTGCACGGCACAATACATTTAAAACGAACAAAAAGATTTTTTCTTTAGAAAATTATGTTTTGCGTTTGTTGTTGTTGTTGTTGTTGTTGTTGTTGTGTCACAACAAACATGCGATTTCTCTATGTGCTAGTTTTTTCTATTTTTTTCTATTTAATGAATGCAAAATTATAAAATGGACACAATTTAAATAAAATTTTTTTTACAGTCACTAATTATTATTATTATCATTATCATTATTAATATTAAATTTTTTTGGAAAGGGAGGGAAAATTTATGAGAGCACCGTGCTTAATTTATAACATACACAAATGTTTTAAAAAAAAAAAAAAAAAAACCTTAAATGTCAGGTTCGATTTAAATTGTACTATATATGACAAAAACAACAAAGAAACGAATGAAATTATTATTATTATTATCATTGTCATCGCGATAATTAATTATATAAATAAATAATAATAATAATAATAATAATAATAATAATAAAATAGCCACTTGAGATGGAAGAGGAAATTTTTTTTTTTTTAATGATCGGAATAAATAAAAATTGCATTTTTTGTATTTAAAATTTAAAAAATGATCGCGTGTGAGGGTGTGTGGGTGCGTGTGCACGTGTATGTGTATGTGTACGTACACGTGTAAAAAAATTTATCTTAAAAAAGAAAGAAAAACTGTAAAATTTGCAGAAATTAGATTTATATAGAAAAAATTTTAGTTTTTACGGAGACGGCGGCTTGTGTGTGAGTGCGTGCGTGCGTGCGCGTGTAAATAATAATAATGATAATAATAATAATAATAGTAAAACGAAGCAATTATTATTATTATTATTATTATTATTATTAATATAAATTTTTTTTTTTTTTTTTTAAATATAATTATATTATTCTTCTATTTTCTTCTTCGATTGTGCTTAGATTTAATAATGTTTTCATCGTCATTATTATTATTATTATTAATAATAATCGACGCGGTCATCATTATTATCATTTTCTCAATAATGATAATAATAATAATAATGATTGTCATCGTATTTTATTAATGAATCACTGCATAAGTAGAAAGTTATGTATATGTAATAATTTGACTATATATAAATGTTGTATTGTAAACTTTTTAAATTTTAATATTATTATCATTATTATCGAGCGAATAAGAAAAAAATGAAAAATTGCATTTCGAAATTGAAAAAAAAAAAAAAATAATAATGATGATAATAATAATAATAATAATGATAATAAAAAAGATTTCATTTTTAAATTTATGATTGATTGATTGTAAATATATACATTGTAAATAACACATGGAAAAAAAGAAAGAAAATGTGTGTGAATAAAAAAATTTTATTAAATGATTACAAAAAAATAATGATGATGATGATGATGATGGAGGTGTTCATCATTATTATTATTATTATTATTATTGAAATTGTCTTTGTTGGGCCAATTATTGAGGCTTTTTCATTCAAAACGGAGTCTAAGAGAAAAAAAAGAATTTTATGTCTTTGAAAAAATGGAAATTTTTTTTTTTTTTTATGTACATAATAAGCTATTTTTTTTTTTATTTAGTCTGCATATGTATGTATGTATGCATATATATATATATATAATTTATGTAAATATATGTATGCGTGTATGATGTGTTTTTTTTATTTTTCTTCTTATGAAGCGTTTTATTTTTTCATTTTTTCTTTCGCGAGTGAATGCATAGTATATACTATTAATTACTACTATTATTATTATTATTACTACTACTATAAATTGACAAAAAAATTGTGTAAATGATTATTATTATTATTGTTTTTTGTACGATAGAAATTATCGATTAGTTACGATGATGATGTATGTGTAGTTTGTGGTTAAAAAAAAAAAAAAAAAAAAAAACAAAAACAAAAAAACGATTTTTCATAATAATAATAATTATTATTATTATTAATTTTTCCTTTTTCTTTTTTCATTTTTAAAAAACGTGTAAAATCGTGTAGAAACAAACAAAAAAGGAAAGAAAAATGGAAAAAAGGAAAAAAAAATTCTTTTTGAAATAAATTTAAAAAATATATAAATAAATAAATAAATAAATAAATGCTCGCGAGTGTGTTTGTGCGTGCGGGTGCACGTGTGGATGCGTGAGTGAGTGAGTGCGTGCGTGCGTGCGTGCCCGAGTGTATAATTAGCGATTTTAATTGGAAAAAAAATAATAATAATAAATAAATAAATAAATAAATAAATAAATTTACAATTTCAATTTGTAGTTATAAATAGTCATAAATTGATATCGATGATAAAAATATTATTATGAAAACTTTTTTTTATTTATTTTATTTTATTAATTATTAATATTTTTATTATTATTATTATTACTATCACCACGTCATCGTCATCAACATAACTATTATTATTATTATTATTATTATAAATTCGAGTGTTTAGTTTTTAACATTATAATAATTATAATAATTTGAAAGAAAAAAAAAGGGTCGAATGGTATTTATTATTATTATTATTATTATTAAAATAGATCTCCCGAGTTAACGAGACTTTTTTTATTATTATTATTATTATTATTATTATTATTAATTAATTAATTTTTTGATTTTGTTTCTTGATGATGGTAAAAAATAATAATTAAAAAAAAAGAAAATTAGTTTTAATTGTAATTAAAATATTTTTAGGGCGATTTCAGTTGTCGTGTGTTTAACCGTCACTGGCTTTTTTTTTTACATATATATATATATATATATTTAAAGTCATTTGAAAAAAAAAAAAAAATTATGTATAAAACAAACATAAAAAAAAAAAAATTACAAAAAATAATAATAATAAAATAAAAATAAAGTTTTGTTTTCTTTTTTTTTTTTTTTTTTTTTAAATTAAAAAAAAATATATTTTTCATTTATTCCATATTAATAATCACCTTATTTAAATTAAATTGGAATGATGACGTCATCACGTACCATTATTTACTGATTGGAAAATTTTTTGGTAATTAAATGGAAAAATCGTTGGTCGAGCGAACTATAGGTAAACTATAGGTGTACATAAGATAAACATAAGTGAAAGTAGTTTTTTTTTATAAAATTATTTTATTTCATAAACCAAAACAAAATTTATTATTATTATTATTATTATTATTATTATTATTATTATTATTATTGCATTTGCAACAACAATATTTAATTTTTCACTCTTTTTTTTTTTTTTTTTTATAAATTAAATATAAAAAACTAAACCTCACGTGTTATTATTAACTACCGATAAGAACGTACCCCATATTACTTTTTACCGAAATCAAATAAAAAAAACCCTGTGGGGGGAGGGGAGAGAGAGGGGGGGAAGGGGTGACTTTCAAACGTAATAAAATTATGTATATATTTATATATAATCAAACATTTTATATCGAAATATATAAAGAGTATTAACAATTTAAAAATTATTTATTATTATTATTATTATCATCATCATCGTGTTATTCGTGTGCGAACAAACAAACAAACAAACAAAAAAATTTATAAATAAAATTAAATTAAATACAACAGATGGAAAATGTATAAATAAAATTTCACGTGTAAAAAAAAAAAAAAAACCTCTTTTCTTTTTATTTTAATTATTCTTTTGATTTTGAAGTAAATGAAATGTATATAAATGCCTGAGATAGTAAAAAAAATAATAATAATAATAATAAAAATTAGGTACCGATATCCCATAAATGTAAAAAAATTTCTTTTTCCTATTTTTATTTATCCCTCCCCGATGAATGTTGTTTTATTTAAACCATCCAAAAAAAAAAAATAATAATAATTTTCACATTTAAAGAAAACTTTTAAAAAAAAATTATTCATTTGAATTGTATGAATGAATGAATGAATGAATGATTTTTTTGTTTTTCTTTTTTTCTTTTTTTTATTCCATTTTTATTTTTTTTCTTTTTATTTCATGATGAAAAGACTAGAGTACTTTCTAATGAGACTTTTTTTTTTTTTTTTTTTGCGTTTTTTTTTTTCTTTTTTCTTTCTTTCCTTCTTTCTTTTCTTCATAACATTAAATTGTAAAACCAAATAACGATTTGTATAAATGATGGAAAATATAATAATTTAGATAAAATCGTCGTAATCGTCGTAATCGCCAACACTGTAAGCCGAATATTCCTGGAGGGGAGAAAAAAACCAAATATAAATAAATTATAATATTAAAAAAACTTGATTAAAAAAAAAAAAAAAAAGCTCTTCATCATCGACTTACATTTTCCCCTTCAACTTTTAAACTAACTTTTCCTTTTCCTTTGTTCTTTTTAGTTTTCTCCGCTTTTTCCGCTTTCTGTTTTTCCATAAAAACTGAATCTAATGTAGTTTTTAATCTTTTGACATTAGCCAAATTTACTTTAAAAAAAAAATAAAAAAATAAAAAAAATAAAAATATTTTAATGCTTGTAAAAATTCATCGAAGAAACTTGCTAAATTGTTTAAATTTAATTTTGTAAATAAATTTTTAAAAAAAAATTAAAACTCACGAGTAGCACTGATGTCTCTCAAAAAATTTTCCATAAATAGAGGAAAATGTAATGAAGTTGAAAGTGGCATTAATTTTTTCATCAAAGCTTCGCTAAAATGATTAAATTCCTCTTGCGTTTTCGGATTCATTGAATCAATGCTTTCAGATGTTTCTATTATACCAAATGTTTCTTTAGTGACCTAAATGATGAAATGTTTTCATGAATTTTTCAACTTTTAATTATTATTAATAATGATAATGATAATAATAATAATAAAGTGTATTTTTTTTTACTTGTAAATCGGCTTCTTCTTGTAACCTTTGCTGCCTTAATTTTTCAGCTAGTTTTTCTTCTGCCGTTAATTTTTTCATGGCTTCTTTGGCAGCTAATTTCCTCGCTGCTTCTTCTCTATCCTTCCTCTCTTTTTCTTCTATTTTTTCAGCAATTTTTTTTTTCCTTTTAACTTGAATGGCTTTTACTTCTTCTTGTTTTTCTTCATCTTTTTTTTCTTCTTCTTCATCCTCCCAATTATCCTAAAAAATTAATTTTTTTTTTTTTTTGTGTGTTTAATGATTCGACTTTATGAAAATGAATAAATTTTTACCAAATGTATTCTTTTTTGTGCATTTCAAATAAACTTATTCTTACATTAATTAATAAATAAATAGTTTAATAGGAGCACAAACTTAAAAGTTAATATGTGAAATTTCTATTGAAAAAAATACTATACCAGAGGCAAATTCATAAAAAATAATTTAAAGTAAAAAGCAATAATTAGTCTTGATATTTGAAAATATAGTGAAAAAAATTTATATTAAATGCATAATATTTAAACTCTAACATAACAGTAACATGTTGCAGAAATGCAAATAGCACCTATTAGTATTTTTTAAGAAACAGTTAAATTCAATAAATAACCTAACCTATGTATGCATATAATTGTTACACTTTTGAGTAATTAATCACAAAGTAATAACATTAATGTTTTTTTTTTATTAATAAACTTTTAAAAAAGCGATTAATTTTTATGTTATGCCCAAGTTAAAACATAAAAGTTTTATATTATGAAAGTATAAAGTCATGCTCTGCCATATGTGAATGTACTTTACCTTGACGTCATCGTCTTCATCTTCGCCCTCCCATTTATAACCAGCGGCAAGACTGATTGCATTAGATTGTTTTAAATTTGGAGGTTCGAAATTTTCAGCGTCTGAAAAATATGTAATTATAAATGAAACAGTTGCCTACGAACCGTAAAATTATTAATGAAAAAAAACTAACCCCATTCAACATCCATGTTGTTTCGTCAAAACCGAAGTATTTAGCTATTCAAGGAACCACCACAGGAGGGCGTTGAAAAATTTTTCAAAGACAAAATACTTATATCTCCTAACTTGATTTTTTTTTAAACAAAATCTTTTCTATTTATTTTAGCACTGCTAGATCCACACAGTCAATAAAATGTTGCAAATACAAATCACAAACTGACAAAAATTACAATTCAAATTACGTGCACGACAACTAGCCATTTTCTGATCAATAGTGAATTTTTTTAAGTTGGTCACGTTCTTAGACCATCTCGGTTATATTTTAGTTTTTAAAAGTTTACACCACTGACTGTAATGAAAGTAACGTATTGTCTTAGGAGCGTGTTTATTGACCGCGTTTAAATAAAGTTATATTACCTTTTTATTTATGTAAAAGTAATAAATAAAAAAATGAATTTTAATTTTCAAAAAACGGGAGATGGAAGTGCTGTTTCTGCAACGTCTGGTAAATTTATTAAATACTTAATTTAGATTTTTAATATTTAATAAAAAACTTTAGCCAAGTTTTTAGACAATTTTAAACTTATTTAGTAAATGCTTTAGGCAGCCAGTACTATTATTTATTTTTTTGAATGCCTGTACTTTAATAGTTAGTTAGAATATTTAGATTTAGGTTTATTTCAATTCTAATAATTTTTAAAAATTTATTCTATCAATTCTAAAAAATTTAATATTTTAGGGTCGATAACAACAGGACTTTCAGCTCCAGGACCTGCAATAACAACAGCAGCAACAACAATAGCGACAACAGCTACAACAATATCATTACAAACTACCACAACTTCTTCAGCATGTACCACATCAACTACATCTGCAATTACAAGTACAACTATTACTGTTAGTGCTGCTCCTACAGCTACATCTTTGACTCTGTAAGTTGTAAAATTTTACCAAAATAATATTTCATTTACTTATGGTAATTTTCAAATTAAACAGGGGAGCCAAACCCAATGTCCAAGCTTGTAATATAACCTTTGCTCAGCTAGAAGAAAATATAAATAAATGGACTATTGAATTGGAAGAACAAGAAAAAGTTTTTATGAATCAAGTTGCTCATATTAATGAATGGGACAGATTGTTATTAACAAATGGAGATAAGGTCAGTTGAAATTTTATTTTTGTATATAAACCTATATTAAAAATTTTAATGTAACTCAAAAAAATTTTTTTTTTTAGATAGTCAGCTTAAATCACAATGTCGAAAAAGTAAAATTAGAACAGCAACAATTAGATCATGAGTTAGATTTTATAGTTGCTCAGCAGCGAGAGTTAGAAGAATGTTTATTACCCTTGGAAAAAGAAATGGCTAATGTAAATGTGTCAGATCCAGACAGAGATGCAATGTAAATAAGAAAATTTTGTTAGTACATGACATTATTATTAAAGTGTCTTTATCATTAAAATTTTTTTATTTGATTTATAGATACAGAATGGCGGAAAGTTTGAAAAGTCAAT